CCCCACCCCACCCCACCCCACCCTTCTGCTGGCCTTGTTCGTCCTGGGGTTATATATTGACGTTCATCACCACGCTTCCTCGTTGCTTTGTTAGTCCTGGGTATTATATGTATTTACTGCCAGGGGGCGTTGTTCATCCTGGCGTGAGGTACTGGCCATGCTGCAGATTTATTAAGAGTGTCTTGTTCTTCCTGGGATTTTATTTATACCAGGGGGTTTTTGTTCACCCTGGGACTAGAAAAAATCCGTAATTTTTTTCTATGATTAACTAGTCACTGATAAAGACTCGAGTATTCACGTGGCGTTGTTTATACTAGGATTAAATAACCTAAAGAGATCCATTATTTTTTCCTAGGATTAATGACTGATAATACTGGAGGAGCCACGGGTCGTTGTTCGTCCTGGGGGTGGACAGTGTTTACCACCCAGAACCGGGCTACTTAAAAAAGTGGGTCATTCATTGTAAGTAATTGAGAGGTTGAGGATGGCGCTCCACTTAACCCATTATTTGACGGGTTTTTTTTTACACAAAGTCGTAAATGAAACGATGTTACACAGGTGAGTTTTACCTTAATGGCTGCTTTACCTGTTGTCTTATTATACGTCTGCTGAAAACCTGACTTAACCTAACCTGACCTGCTGAAAACCTGACTTAACCTAACCTGACCTGCTGAAAACCTGATTTAACCTAACCTGACCTGCTGAAAACCTGATTTAACCTAACCTGACCTGCTGAAAACCTGACTTAACCTAACCTGACCTGCTGAAAACCTGATTTAACCTAACCTGACCTGCTGAAAACCTGACTTAACCTAACTTGACCTGCTGAAAACCTGACTTAATTTAACCTGACCTGCTGAAAACCTGACTTAACCTAACCTGACCTGCTGAAAACCTGACTTAACCTAACCTGACCTGTTGAAAACCTGACTTAACCTAACCTGACCTGCTGAAAACCTGACTTAACTTAACCAAACCTAACTTAACTTAATCTAACTAAACCTTATCTAAGATTTAATTAATTTTGGTATGGTTAGGCTAGACTTGATCAGGTTAAGTTATGCTAGGTTAGGTTAGGTTAGACTAGATTAGGCTAGGTTAGGATATGATAGGTAAGGCTAGTCTAGACCAGGTAATAGCTTAGGTTGAGCGCGGTACTAATGGCGGCAGGTGTTGGCACGTCTAACACCAGCTTACAGATACCTGACAATGACATGTAATTAAGGTAGGCGGAGCATTTGCCTGTCTGGGGTCTACATGCTCAGGTATACCCAATTATTAAAACCTCACCTGAGAAGACAATACGCCTTTCTTATTACAACATTCTCCTCGGCAGCACAAGATGGTATACCTGTTATAACTAAATATATACGAGTTTCTTAATGAGTTTTTTGTACCTGGGAATAAACATCTTCGTACAGGTGAACATATATCTAGTTAACTTGGAATTTACCTGGTTTAAGGGTCACTCTGCTTAGGTCTGATGGCATGATAGGTCAAGACTAAGAAGGTCAACAGATGGTGTGTGTGTGTGTGTGTGTGTGATATATAAAAAGTTCCTCATTAGTCACCCCTTCTGGACCTGTTGGTGACCTCTATAATATGGACACCGGTAATACGGACACCGGTAATACGGACCACCTCTAGTACGGACACCTCTAGTACGGATCACCTCTTTAACACGGCCTTGTATTTAGGTATATATAATTTCAGAGTTACAGGTATATTTGTTAACCCTTTGAGTACGATGCCCTTCCTCTGAGTACTTTGAATCCGCCCCCTGAGTACGATATATGTACCCCTGCGTACGACGACTTAACCCCTCGAGTACATAGCTTAATCCCTTATGTATGATGTGTTGCCCCTTTGAGTCCGAGGGCTAATCTGATTGAGTACAATAACCCTGTACTCATGAGATTAAGTCATCGTACTCATGGGGGTTAATTAGTGGTAATGTTAATGAGCTTAAAACCAGGTAATTAACTCTTGGTCTCTGTTGAGTTAATGAATGGAAAGAAAAGTGAAAATAATTGGGTTAAATTAATAGAAATGAAAGAAAATATGAAAAATAAATAACAATAACTGAGCCAAAAAAATACAAAAATAACGAAAACTAAAAAAAGTAATAGCAAAAAAAAAAGGAAAAAATAACAAAAACTTAAACAATAAAAAAATAACAAAAACTTACCCCAAAAAATAAAAATATGAGCAAAAAAATAAAAAAAATAAACAAAACACCAAAATGAACATAAACTAAACACAAACAGAAAGAAACAAGAAAAAATTTAATTAAAATGAATAAAATCTGAAAAAAAATTTTACGAGACAATTGAACATGACCAGAAAATTCTCACCTGTTAAACAATGAGCGTGAGGCGAATATAACCAGGTATATTAATAATTACCATGATATAATTTGAGTATATCTGCATGAACCTGA